CAAGGAAACACACGCAAATCCGATAAATAAATCTAAATTTGAAGCTACACCGGTTCCAAATGAAAGTCGGGATATTTGGGGGATGAAACAATACAAAACTGCGTACGCCCATCTCTCACATTCCTAATAAAATATATATAAAAAGATGTAAATTAAAACATAACAAACCAAAAAAAAAGTAAAGATGTACATACTAAGGGGCAGCCCAAAATAGTTTTAGTTAGTTACCTTTGAGAGATCTTTTCCGAAACACCCCTGATAGGTCCCCGCGTGAAAATTGTTAAATAATAGCGCATTAGTTTTTTCTAGGATATTGATGTATTAGAATTCAGTAATCCGTAAAAGTGAAAATTGTATGTATCTTACATTTAGTTGCCCTATAACAAGCCAATGCAAAAAAAATTTAATTTAATTTTGTTTGAAATTCAAAACAGCAGATATTTAAATAACTTAAACTGTTTTAACGAAAAACACAACAATATTTTATTAACTGAATTGTTAACTAATATTATGGCTGGAAATCACTTTTAAGAACTACCCTGATCGACGCCATTACAAAAAACCATCTTGAGTGAGTTCTGAGTGAAATTTAGCACAATGACGTCGCTCAAAAACAATAAGCGCGAGGCTGGCAAACTTTCTAAGCAAGACTTCAATTGAAATCGTCCCGGAAAGAGCAAACTTTAACACCGTGTAGCATATATATACAGATATCTATTCTAAAACAAAATAATTACCATTTATCTAGCTATTTTCGTTTTAATCTACTATGCTACATCTACGCTCTAAGGCCATCTAAACTTTAAGGGGCCGGTATATTGAATAATTCAAACAGAAAGTCGAAAGTCTAAAAAGTCTTCAAACTGCATCAAAATCCTCTAAAAGCTTGCCAACCCCTTAACAACAAAAACAATTTACAAAATAATACAAGGACACAACACAACATCGAGACGAAACGGGTTCAGAAAAATAAAAACAAATAAAGTACGTCAAGACATTTCTTTTTGTGTGGAAAGTTGTAGAGTTACACTTAATGGTCTCTAAGGTTGCGGTAAATTTCTTGTTAACTTTCAACAATTACACTGCGATTTTGTGGGATATATTGTGAAATAAGATGGCAAACGTGGACAAGGAGAGTTTATCCTTAACTTGGATCTCATGGACTTACTTCAAAACGTTACTCTTCATTTAAGGTCTTTTTATTGTAAACAGAAACAAGTATAATTGGAAAAGCGATTCACTTTTTAAATTCGAATACTTCATACACGGTGAAATAACTGAAGGTTGGACTGACAATTTTTGATAAATAAAACTGTTATGTTACTTGAAAAATCGGATTGTTACGAAAATTTTCGATACGATTAATCCGGGATAGCCAAATAAATACAGAGTGTTCAGCTCATATTCTAGGCAAAGATCAGAAGCTTTGAAATAAAAGAAAGTAAACATAAAGTCGACCAATAGAAACAGTACGAATTATTTATTGGACGTATAGCGACCGTTGGGGGGCGCAAAGTCTACGAAAAATAAAATCAAGGTTACTGTTATTGCCGTTTGATCATGTGCTAATTGCCTAAAAAAAATCAATCAACTTGGTCTGTTTGTCATTGAAAAACTATATTTTATTTTCTTCTAGTGAAACATCTTTATTAAAAGTTTCGTTAAAATTTATTCAGGGAAAGAAAATTGTTTTACAGCAGTTTTTAAAAAGCATAAAAAATTAACCAATTAGTTAGTAGTTTTCCAAATCAGCCACTGAATATACGAGTACTTCAAACTGTTTGACTTTATCCCAATATGAAAATGTGAAAAGATGAATTTGATTTAAAAGTGATTGAAAGTGCAAGCGAAAAGCAGCAGCTGAAGTAATTTAGAATCGCGAGTTATTAAGAAAGCTTAAATAGATTTAAATGCATTTATTAATCCTGCAATTGATAAAAGAACAGCAATTTTTATTTGTTCTATTCTTATTTCTTCTTATTTTTGCTTGAAATGTTATTATTCTGATCTTTTCATTCAGATAAAATGAATGCAACTTTTCCGCGTTGTAGTCAGTATACCTAACAATTAATTGCACAAGCACCGGAAATATTTTCATATAAATTTACTAAACATTTATAATTTTTTTTAAGTATTTAAAATTCTGACAAAGCTAGGGCAACATGTTGCAACCGAACAATTTTAACTGAAAATGAAAGAAATCTTTTAGGCTCTGAAATGACAAAAAAATTACCGAATAGCGCCTTCTGTTTGTCCTATAAAGAAAAAAATAAATATAATTTAACATATTACAGGGAAAACATTTACCAAAATATTGAGTTAAATAATTAGACAAATAACGAAGTTGTCTTTCTTTTCCACACCGTTGATGACCCAACAAAACATAGTTTCAGATTATTTGACTGTCTACAAAATACACCAAGAAACCAAATAAGATAAGCCGAAGAAATATTTATAAAAATTAATATTTTCGAAACCTAGCGGCAGTCAAAACTATTAGATAAAACGAATCAAATATTCAGGTTAAATTATTGTAGTATCTGTGCAAATAAATGCCAAATTTGAGGATCAAGCGCAAGTGAGAAAGATCCTATTGTAGAGCTTTCGGAGAAATGGTTAAAAGTTCAATGTTGTTTCTAATATGTAGACCTGGGTAACTTTACTAGTTGGCGCAGTGCTACGCAAATGGCTTGGTGCGCCAACCCAACGCACCGGCGTAGTAATTCAGTTCCGTTGCTGGGAAATTGTTGATGACTTTTTAGTTGTTTTTAGATTTATATTAAGGGCCATTTATTAATAATATTTTTTAAATGTCTTCAAAATGTCATAATTATCCAGTTTTAGCCAAGTTACTCTTTCTTCCAAATGCTCAATTTTCTAAAGTTTCACTTAAAAATGCTGAAAATCTTAAGGTATTTTTCGCGAAAAATTATGAAATAAATTTCGAATATTTCGTCGCTTTGTTAAAAGTTTTCAAAGCCCTTTCCAGCTTCGAATTTGGTACAAAAATCAATTTTTTTTCGTATACAATCGTAATAAAAAACGAACAGAATAAGCGAAAGTTTATAACAGATTATTTGGAAATCTTATCACCGCTATATCTCTGAAGACTGTAAAGTTTGTTCTATTTTGTTGTTTCACTTAAAAATACTGACGATCTGGAGGTCTTTTACCGGATAAATTTATATTATTTATAGCTTTGTAAACCTTTTACAAAAACTTCTTTCAGAGTCAAATTCGTGACAAAAACGAAAAAAAAGGTTTTCTCCAAAACGGATCCCAAAACTAGAAGTTTTTAATCGAAAACGCAAAACAACATTATTTTCTGATGATGTTCTTATTTTCTGACAATAATGTGGCCTTTTCAGCCAAAAATGGCAAAATTAAAATTTTTGGAAAACTTTTTGCAACTTTGTAATAATTATTTCTGGGTATTTTTCCAAAAATATTTCCTAGTTTATGTAAAATGTGTATGTTAAAGTTTATAATAATTTCCTGAAAAAGCGAAAGTTTATAATAATTTTTTTGGAAAAGTTTTAGAAACTGGGATTTCTTCACTTTTAGATCAATATTTCTTAACAACACAGTCTCTGAACAGAAAAACCGCGTTTTCCCTAACGCTCTGCTGTAAAATACTGGCAAATTGAATCGTTTAACGGAAAAAATTAAGAGATCGACTTTTCAAGAAAATTTACCGACTTTTTGTCTAAAAATCTAGATTACTTTTTTGTAGTTGTTTGAGCAAAGTAGTAAAACGTTACTCAGAAAAAATATTGATGGCCTTTTTTTTGGATGTGAAAATTCAAATCTCGTCTCGCAAGGCTTCAATCCGCTTTAATGAATGACTTATAACTCATTAACCGATGAGTTATAACTCGTTAACTCAGAGAGCGGCAAGAACTCAATAGCGCAACTCAATACAGTGTTACTCAGGCCTACTAATAGGCAGTAAGTTTTTAATGGGTCCAATAATCTCAATTGAAACGAGTTTTATGATATTAAAAAACTTACGCCTTATGTCTAGCCGCTAGCCGAATTTATGGGAACGTTAAATAATTTCAAAATTTAACTGCCTCATCTCTTAAAATTAATGTTCTCACACCAGGACATCCAAACATTTATATTCCAAAAAGGCTGGTAAAGAAACTTATTTTTTTAGTAATAAGACTCCACCGTTCTACCCCAAAAAATTGATCAAAAAACATACTTTTGTAAAAATCGAAGTTTTGCCACCAAACATTTCACATGTATCCCACATAATCTGAACAAATTAACGGAAAACGAAGCGACAAACTTACCTGTTATGGAACATAACAGTCTGAGCGTGGGTGCTGATCCACTGTATTGATTGATCATGCCCTGAGAATGTGCCGTTGGTGCCGGCATGTTCAACTGAATGGCTCTGTGGAATTTTCTTCTTCGTGGCTCTACAGTCACCACTGGCGAAACTGCCACTCCATGACCCAATAATTTGGCTGTAAGTTCTGGATCGATGGGTTGAGCCTAAAGAGCAAATATGGAAACTATTTATTAAAAGCATTTACACTGGAATTGCTCATTCAATATTCCATCAGCTGCTGGTGAACATAATTTAATTTAATGATTAGTAAGTGAGCGATACTTACCAACACCAAAGCAAGGCAATTGAGAGGAAGAAATTAAAAGAGGAAAATGCAGGTTGAGACAACACAAAGCAAGGTTCAACAACCAGAAAAATAAGATAAAATAAAACGACATTGGAGTGCAACCAATAAAAACAAAGCATAAGAATGAAGAAAAGCACTATCTTATGTATGCTTGAGCTATGAGAGCCCAATAAAAATCGCTTGTGAACTGCCAAATTGATCCTGAACCGTGCTTTGGTTGTTATTTGGATACAATAATGGTTTTTGGTCACAAATTGTTGTCGGCATTTTATCATTCCAGCTACGTACAAATTGTGTCCAAAAAATAGTGTTACTGTAGCCAAATATTATGGAATAACAATAAAACGTTAGTAGTGTAATTTTATCAGTTTTATTGGGCACTCATTAATATTACATACTTAAAATTAGTGCAGAAAAACCAGTGTTATACCGATGAGCAGATTAGTACAGAATGGGTGATGATTGCATGAGCTAATTTTACTAAATAATGAAAAAAGGAAAGCTGTTCAAACAAGTATTTGCAAAGCATTAAAGAGACTCGCGAAAGCACTTTGTATTTCACCATATGGAATTTAAATAGTCAGTAGTATGCCACTTTTCAAAGTAAAAATTACTTCTACTATGCAAGTATGCTTCTACTTTTTCTGCTGGTTCGTTTTTTTAGGAAATGGGTGAAAAAGATGGTAAAATAAAGTATAATGAAAGTAATAACAGACTAATAATCAGGCTTTTAAATGTTTCGCCTCAAATATAGCCTTTTCTCATTTACGGAATCTTCACAATTTCAACATCGCCTTCAGTTTCAAGTATTTTGCTTCAAATTCGATACACTTTTCAAATTTAAGCACCTATTTTTCTAACATACTGAATTAGGTACTTTAAAAGATTTATTACAATTTTCTATGTTTTCGGCTATTTCACCCTTTTTATCTGATAAACTTTTCAATACTGCTCATTAGACATACTAATTTTGGTCTCTCATCTGCACGTTCGCCTGGTTAGAAATGATTCTGATGATTCTAACTGTTTTTTTAACAATTGTTAAATTTTTTCTGTTTTAAGGAATTTAAAATAGAAAAAAACTGCAGGGTTTCTCAAGAATTCCATATCCCCATTCTAAAATTTAATTTAAATTATCTTTTGGTGCGAATAATCATGATTGTGGATAATTTTATTGTCTTGTAATAGCTTTCCTCTTTTCCCAGTTAATACACACAATGTGATTTCTTGGCTTAACAATAAAACTTGAACACCATATTTCACAGATTCTATTTTGTTAAATATTGTCTACTGTTTTAAGTAAAAATATATGTACCAAAAATATTATTTGATACTTTGTTTTGTTTCTACATGTTCTTATTTACTTCAAGTTTCTAAATAAATGTCTAATACCACTTAAAAAATCAGTAAATTGATATCTGTATAATGCGATAAAGTACATTTTAAATACACAGCAAAATTGCTATAAAATATGTCGTTTAATCATATTTTATTTTTTTGTACATGTCAAAAACTATTTACATTAACCGGCCAATAAATATGAAATGTGAATAAGCTACGAGTAAATGTTTGTATAAAAGACCTTCAAGAAGATTTTAAGTATATTTTCATTTAAATTTTCTGTTCATCTATAAACAAATGTTTAATAACTGTACAAATAAATAAATAAATTAGTTAAAATTTTAACTAGGCAAATACCAGACAATTTGTACTTTTAAATTCACAATTTAAACGTTGCCCTTAAACAAACACCTTAATATTGCATCAAGACTTACTCACACTATGGCAACGCTTTTTTGCAGTATTTTACCACCTTCTGCTAATTAACCAACAATACATAAAAGCCCTTTTAGCCAAATTTTCATAGACGTTCTTCTCAGGCTAACGATGTAGATCGCTGGAAGACTTGTTAACAATTTGGCTCCAGTTTTTCAGTAATTTTACAAAATTTGTTTTAGGTAATTTGCGAAGTATGTGAGAAGCATTGCAAAATTCGGTTTCGGATAGTAGACTTTATCGTTTAATGAGAAAAATTACTTATAACCGATACCCAATTTAAAATGCATTTTTTAAATTGATTGCCTCCGTAAAATTTTCTTTTCTCGATTTTGTCGATATCATTGTACAATAAATGCGTTATTTTTACACATTTCGTTAGTTAGTTTGGGTTAGTTTGAAGATGAAACAGTTTTAGAATTATCAATGCTCTGATGCAGTTCATTTGACAAACGACGTATTTAACTAAACTCATACTTGCAAAATAGTCAAATCTACTTTACAAGGCAAGTAAATTATCATGCTTGAAAATGGAAAGTCAATTCAGAATCCAAATAGTTAGAAACAACCAAAATTAAAGTTAGATAGACAAAGTTTGTTATTAATGATGCCATTTTTGTAATTTTTAGCGCTTGAAATCCGAATTCCGTTCAAATTTTTCATACTATTTGACTGAGGAAAAGACAGACACCTTCAGAAATGATTACTTGATTATTATTGTTATTATTATTAGAATTAGCATTTGAGTAATTAGTTGATTTGTGTAGACTTTTGGAAAATATTGCAAAAATTAATGCAGTTTTTCCGCAAGAAAAATTACTTAAAATAAAAAAAATACAAAAGTTGGCTGGAAATTCTCCTCAACTTTTCGTTACGCAAATGTTGAAAGGTTTATTTCTGATAGTGCCTGCCTACGTGCAAAATACTTGTCTCTCAAATCAACATTTTGATTACCAGATCAACGACCATCGTTTCTTCTTCGGAATATGATTAACCGTGATTTTACGCAACTTATCGAATGAAACACCCTTACGGGGCTTAAACAAATTTACCTGTAGGCCGACTTTGATCTTCTTGGTAAGGGCTCCTTCTGGGAAAATGGCCTGAACTTGAGGAACCACGCTGCTGGATACCATTCCACCTTCCGGTCCGATAGCGTGCACTTCTTGGCGTATTCTGGATACCACAGCAAAGTATTGAGGAAAGTCTTGCGTAACTATCCGAGTTATTCGGCCGGATGCAACATCTTCCATTTGATTTAGATCTGGAATGAAACCAAGGCTAAGTAATTGATTTCTTTTTAAATCAAAGCAGTTTAGTACCTTCTGCTTCAAAGCTTTCATGCAGGACTTCGTTCAAAATATCCTCTGCGGCTTTGACGGTGTGTTCTTTCCACGATTCTCCATTATCAGAGCGCAAGATCACGATTTCGCGTTCTTTACCTCGAAGGGCAGCAAAATGTGGGACTTCGATTATTACGGGTCTGAAAAGATGTCAAACCATAATCCCTTGCGGAAAAATGTTGCAATGGAACCCGAATTGCCAGGAAAAGATGTTCTATTGAACTAAAATGACCCAAGTTGTTCAATTTGAATATGCACCTTTTGGATATTAAATGGATAGTTACTTATGATAAACAGTATCGGTTCTGAAACAACGGTTAAGTAAAAAATGTAGTTTTACCCTAAAAACTGTGCACCAACAGGTCCCAACTCCAAAACGCGACTTGCTAATGCTTCACCTTCCATTAGTGGAGGAGGATGTGGTGTCCGTTGAGGTCTAACGTATCGGCATGTAATTCTGGTGGGACTGGGAGCGCACCTTGGAGGCACAATTACTCTCACTCCGGAATGTCTGCATCCTCTCATCGCACCTCCTCTGGCGTCGACTAGGAATGATACTAGGAAACTGGAAGGAAAATATAATACATTGAAAAACAGTACGAAATTTAGTTTAAATGCTGCTCAAATGAAGGTACACAGCTAATATGAAATGTCGGTGAAGGTTACTTACTTCTTCCAATGCAGTTTCCTAAGGAAAGCATGAACAAAAGAAAAATGTTTATAATCTGTAGAAAAACTCACTTATAAAATGATTAGTGCATGGAACAGATGGATACAAGTTTGAGGATTATATTTTTGAATTGATTTGTTCTTAAAACCAACATAAACATCTATACAGGGAAATCAATGAAATTTGGTTAATAGCCAGAGTTTCTCTTAAAATTGTTATTTAAAAAATGCACTACTAAAGTCAGTTTGTAGGTATTTTAATGCAAATTGAATGATCCGACTGAGTATCAAGACGCGGAACTCTTACCCTATATTTATTGGATGTCTGTTAATATCAATATTATCAGACGTATACTTCTTAATGTACTCGGTATAGTTCCCGGAAATATGTTCCGGGCTGATTGAATCCTCAATATGTTGAGGAGGCAGCATGTTGCTATCGATGATCATTTTGTTGGAATCCATTCGTTCATCGCGTGTCACATCAATGGGCAAAGAATCGTCTCCTAACGACTTCATTTCGTCTGCTGTTAAATACCGGTAGGTTTGGTCGCCCAATGCTGCATCTTCCCCTGAAATAAACGTAAGAATTTAATACACTTGCAGATTCACCAACAGGAGGTTTTTGTTGGTCTGCTTGCGTCTAATTTTTTCGCAACTAGTAAAGTTGGAAATCTGTATTTTTTTCATTTAATTTATTTATCAAAAATTCTCGATCGCTATAGATCGAATGCTTTATGTATGGTACTCAGGAAGTGGATATCAGCGTAATAAAAAAATCGCGCTCAAAAGCAAGTTTGGAAAAATTCAACTAATGTTGAGAACTCTCTACATTCGCCTCCACAATAAGTCATAGCTTTGGAAATGAAATGTTCCAAATGCATAATCCTAAATTAGTTGCAGTTGTGCTATAAGAATATATTTTGATTATTTATTTGATATTTTCTGTTTCAACATCGTGCGATTTATTTATTAACACGAAAAATTTTGCAAACTTGCTCAAAACTGCAACTCAAAAATTGCCGCTTCTATTCCGAGTATGCATAAAATGCAAAGCTAAAAATACCGGTTTATTGATTCGCGTAACATGTTTACACTGATCGGGCAAAACTTGGGCAAAACATCGTACCACATCTGCAAATTTTAATAGGATATTTTGAAGGGCGATTTATTAAAATAGCTTTACTGCTGCCTTCTCTTTCTTCGACCTTGATCATCAATGGGAATTAAATTATAAGAATCTTATTTACAAAACATGTTTTGCACTTGAACCAGACACGAAATATATTCAGGTCTATATCGGGAGGGACAGAGAACAGCAAAAAATGTGAAAAGTAACTTAAAAAAAGAAGATAAATGCTAAATATGGAGTTGGAGTACGAAAATATATAGCTTTGAATCCTGATTCAATCAACGCAGAAACGAGATCTAATGTCTGTAATAAAACTGATGAAAGTATATCTAAAAAAGATACAAATTTGAAGGTTTTAAACCGTTTACTTCAAGCTGCAGTTCATCAATTATTTGCAATCACAATAAGAAAAGCTGAAACATGCTAAGCTAGAAGTCCTACTATTGTTGTCGGAAAATGTCATAATTAGGCAGCCAAATCTATATTGAACCAAGCACACAAGGGCCAAGAAGAGAAGGCATTTCGACTAATAATAAGATGCTTACAAAAAATAGAAGCACGTCTCCATTCTACTGTAAAAAAATATCTGATAAGATTGCATTAGAACTAACCTTGGAATAATTAAATTAAATCTGCATATTAAGCTAATTACTTATGCACAACGTGCCAACAGCTAAAAAAATTAGTCGACCAGGTTTATTCATTTTAATTTGAACTGTAATCAATCAACAATTATTTTGGAAATTCCATTCCAAAAACATTTTGAAAGAACCAACATTTTTTTAGGCAAAGATAGCGGAAGCTGTTTCTGCAAATTAACAGATCATATATTTTTACTTAGTATACTTAAACTAGTTAGTCCGTATTACAAATATAAACAACTTTTTGGCGCATAAAGGAATGTAGGGCACATGAAGTCACAAGTGACTCAGTTAATTTCGAGGTGCGGACCTAATAAACACCGAAATAAATTGGATTAATTCAGCTAGGTATGAAATGGCTAATAGCACAAATGTGGAACTATAAACCATTAATATACAAGGTTGTTATTTTTGAAATAATTGACAAGTAACCGTGAAATAAGCATATATCCTGTGCAGCGAGGAAGCTGACAATTTGTTTAACTAAATGCTACAAAGGAATGTTTTGGCAAATTACCCATCGATTGGCCTTAATTCTGCAGATAGTTAAAGCAGACGATCTAAAACCCCATTGATAGATTAAATAATATAGGCTCTAACGTACTTTTGTCTTGGAAGTTAGTCGAGAAATCGGTGAGTGATTAATAAATTTGTCAAATAATAGATGGAATAATTTGAAACAATCCGGACGAAATCCAATATGTCAATATATTCCTCCAGTGGATTGAAGTGTGTGATTTTTCTGGTTAAATCCTCTAAACGAAACATTAAGCAGTCGGCAGGAATAGAAAGGGAAATTTCTAGAAATGAACAATGTTAAAAGAATAAAACAAAAGTTTATTATTTTAATTCATCATATCATCATTTAAAAGAAAATAAATTTCAGATAGATTTTTTAATATTTTTCAAAACTAAAAACTCGTATTATGTTTCAGCTGACTGGTAAGTAGATATTCATGATTTTGAACGTCAGTTCTTTTTATATTTAAATGTGTTTTTCAACTTCATTTTAAATCAATTTGAGAATATTTCAATCAGTTGATATTCATCACATATTTGGGAGCAAATGCTAACCTGATGTTTTATGAAAATTTGTGAAAAGACAGGGAGATTTTGGCCGCTTGCAGCACTCATAACCCTTTAGTTGATCAGCTATGCCAAACCTTGCCTGCATGTTTGTCCAAACACGAAATTTGTAATTTAATAAAGCTGCTTATAACGAAGCCAGCTCTTCATTTCACTAACAATTTTTAACCTTCACTTGCGAATCGCGTATAACATGCACTCGAGTCGAAATATTGCAGATTTTTATTTTTAACGTGAAAAAAATCTAAAAATACGGCAATAAAAATAAATCCATTGGCGTGTGAGTTGGCAAATGAAAGTTAAGAAAAATCAAACGACAATTAACCTGAACTAACCTGGATAGTGTATGTTTTGTGAAAAACAAACAATGTGAATAAAAAGACACAACTTACGCAATTGCAAAGTGCTGCCATTGAAATATGGGAGGTAAACGTGACGCTCGTGTAGTGCAGTGCCGAATCCCTCAATGTCCTCCCCTGTTTCAGGGATATTTTCGTTAGGCGTTTGCTTTTGTTAGTACGTTTAAAATTGAAAGCAGCACAATAAGCTAAGCATCCATAAACGAACATTTGAATCTAATAAACTCGAAAGATGCAGAAATAGAGTAATAGTGAATATGTTGGAAGATCATGCTTGTTTCTCTGACCTCGTTTTTGCTATAACTTTGAAAAGTTGATGAAGTAGTATTTTCTAAGTAGTAATTCGTAGCAATGTGATTAAACTAGTTTTGAATTCACGATGAAATAGGTCTACGAAAATACAATCAAACAGTGGATATCTGATGCAAATTATATATTTTGTTAACTTCCAAAAAATCCAATTTCCTATGAGTTGTTGGATTAAAATATCAGAAGAACACTGGAGTTTAAAAATGTTCAAGTACAGACCTTCATAAGACGAACTTTAGAGCACTTCATTTTTAAATTTCTGAATAAACCCGTTGTGTACCTACCGTCACAATGCATACATTTCCAACAACAAATTTTAAGCAATTCGCAAAAACGAGCATATTTAAAAACATTTAGTTATGTGCGGCCTTTTTTAAAAGTCCAAAAAATGGAGGTTACAGTTTATAAACGTCTAAACCCGTCATTGCATTTTAATATATTTCCATAAATTTTCACTAATGTCTCGCCAATGATTCACGACAACGTCATTTCGATAAGCAGGCGATTTGTTTCTTGTTTCGAGATTTCAAGGTTTCAACGAGTTCCTATTCTCATAGTATGAATCCGCTTTCTAGTATCGAAAACAGCTAAACTAAGCTAAAGTGTATTTATTTACCAAATCTCTCTAAACTAGTCACAATTTTCATGTTAACACAGGTATTTTGCAAAACTTGGAAGAGCGACGAGCAAACAACTAACAAGAAAGCTTCAGACTAAACTGATACATATATTGGATTTGGAATGCGATATAGATACCTAATTAGAAAACTTATGTGTGCAACTCCGTATTTATTTCACCCTTTCAGAATGCCGTTCTCAACCCTTGCAAACGCATCCACTACACAATGTTTGCGCCATCCATTCTATAAGGGAGAGGTTATATAAGTTTCGTTTTCTCATTAAATGTCTAGTGTTTTCTGGTCTTTTCAATATATCGAACAAGAAAATAGAAGGGCAATTGATGTATGGAACTACGGCTGTTGTTAGTTCCACCCAATGATGTTAAACATAAAAAATTGATTGAAAAGAAATGGAAAACCTAATCCAACTTTTTGGATTGTTTCACTTCTTCATCTCCTCGAATAATTTTGCATTTTTATGTAAAAATTATTGTTGTAATTCTGAGTCAGAATGTTCAAAATTCTTCTGATCATTCTGATTGTTCATTCAACAATCAGTTTTATTAATATTTTTTCCGGGAAACTATCGCTCACACTGAAAACATATTGCAGTGCTTTTACAAGCTAAGTTCACAGAATAATGATTCAGGATCCATACATTATGTTTTTGCAGTGAACCAAATTTTAATATAATATAAGTAGTAATAGTATAGTAATGAAAAATTTTAAAAAATCTTATTACAAGCTCGAATTTTATGCGGAATTAAGCCGCCAATGGAATCGCTTAAACTACAAAAAAAACACATTTATTATTTGAAATACACCCGGAAATCAAAAATTTATATTTGCATAAACGATACGCAAAAGTTATAAAACATGTTTTTGCGCAATAATTTTATAAAAAAATATATTAATTATTCTATCGACTATAGATGGTGGTAAATTCCGTAATCCTCATTCGATCATTTTCTCATATGTGTTATAACAGATTTACCAGATTACAAACATTTTAATACTGATTCAGAGCAAAATGTATTGAACGTTTTAGAAGAGCGCATGGAAAAGTAGCAAATAGGTCGAAGCTTAGAAATAGCTTTAGATCTTGCTGCTGCAATGTTTTCAAAATAGCAAAAAAAACACTTTGGAATAAAAATGGTTATTGGTTTTTCAAACGTTAATTTGCTTGCTCAGAACTGAATTTTCCGACACATTTCTTTGCGCATCCAGTATAAGTTTAAATTTAAATAATATTGCAATAATGATAGTAAAAAGCGTATAAACGATGTTTCCAATTGTGGAGAATGATTTACTGAAGCAATCTTACAATATTTTACATGATCTTTCACCTTATTTAGGAGAGCCCAGATTTGATGGACTGTATTGCATTTTATTCAATAAAAAGGGTTTGTAGGAAATATATTTTTG